TTCACGACGAATGATATCTAACTCGAAGCCAAACTTCATAATGAAGGGGTCATATGCGGTTTCAACTTCACAAAAAAGGGAATCGTGTCCACCCGCAATAGTACATGCTTGGGTTTCAACTTCACGACGAAGGATATTCAAGTCAAGGCTCAACTTCATAACGAATGAACCATCCACGATTTTAACTCCACGAAGGAGGATATCGTACCAACGGATCCACGATTTCAACTCCACGATGGAGGATATCGTGCCCACACATCCACTGTTTTAACTTCACGATGAAGAGAATCGTACACACAAGCAACATCCATCTCTAGATTGGATTTCAACTTCACGAAGAAGGATTTCGAACTCAAAGAAGGAGTGTCTATCAATAAACTTTACAGTTTGAGAGCCAATTTCAACTTTACGATGAAGGATATTGGATTCGAAACAACACAAGCTTGGATTTCAACTTCACGACGAAGGATTTCAAGTCAAGGCTCAACTTCACGACGAAGGGGCCATCCGCGATTTCAACTCCACGATGGACGATATCGTACCCACGGATCCACGATTGCAACTCCACGACGGAGGATACCGTGCCCACACATCCAAGATTTTAACTTCACGACGAAGGGAATCGTACACACAAGCAACATCCATCTCTAGATTAGATTTCAACTTCACGACGAAGGATATCCAACTCAAGGAAGGAGTGTTCTTCAATAAACTTTCCAGTTTCAAAGTCAATTTCAACTTCACTGCGAAGGATATTGGCCTCGAAACAATGCAATTTACATTGGATTTCAACTTCACGACGAAGGATATCCAATTCTAAGGCTCAACTTCAGAACGAATGAACCATTCACGATTTCAACTTCACGATGAAGGATATCGTGCCCACATTTATTTTTAGATTTGATTTCAACTTCACGACGAAGGATATCAAATTTAAAGCTCAACTTCAGAACGAATGAACCATCAACGATTTCAACTTCACGACGAAGGATATCCAATTCAAGGCTTAACTTCACAACGAAGGGGCCATCCACGATTTCAACTTCACGACGAAGGATATTGTGTCCACTAATAACACCTATCTTTAGATTGGATTTTAACTTCACAAAGAAGGATATCTAACTCAAAGAAGGAGTATCTTTCAACAAAAGACCTTCAAGTTCGATTACTCTCAGCTCAAAGGAACATCATTTGCAGTATAACTTATGTTGAGAATGGTTATCTGCTAACCAAATACCTTCGAGTTCGATTACACCCATCTTAAAGGCACCATCATTTGCAGCATAGCTCAATGAAAGAAGGGTTATCTACCAAAGACCTTCGAGCTCGATTACACTCAGCTCAAAGGCACATCATTTACAGCATAACTCAAGGCTAGAAGGGTTATCTGTCAACAAAAGACCTTCGAGTTCGACTACGCTCAGCTCCAAGGCATATAATTTGCAACATAGCTCAAGGCAAGAAAAGCTATTTGCCAACAAAAGACCTTCGGGTTCGATTACACTCAGTTCTAAGGCATATAATTTACAGTATAACTCAAGGCTAGAAGGGTTATCTGCCAACAAAAGACCTTTGAGTTCGATTACATTCAGCTCAAAGACACATCATTTGTAGTATACCTCAAGGCAAGAAGGGCTATCTGCCAAAGACCTTCGAGTTCGATTATATTCAGCTCCAAGTCATATCATCAATAAGGGTTATTTGCCAACCAAGACCTTCGAGTTCAATTATGCTCAGCTCCAAGGTACATCATTTACAGCATAACTTAAGGCTAGAAGGGTTATCTTCAGACAAAAGACCTTCGAGTTCGACTACGGTCACCTCCAAGGCATATCATCTGTAGCATAACTTTAGGCAATAAAGGCTATCTGTCGACAAAATACCTTTGAGTTCAACTACACTCAGCTTAAAGGCATATCAATTGCAGCATAACTCAAGGCTAGAAGGGTTATCTGTCAACAAAGACCTTCGAGTTCGATTACACTCAGCTCAAAGGCATATCAATTTTACAGCATAGCTCAAGGCGAGAAGGGTTATCTGTCATCAAAGACCTTCGAGTTCGATTTCATTTAGCTCATAGGCATATCAACCGCATGGTAGCAACGAGGAACTACCTTCTGGAAGAATTTTCAAGCCGAGGTCTTTAATCGAGAAGAAGACCAAGGCCCAATTCCAGGCTCAGCCTGAATCCCAAGTACAGTTACTCCCTAACAAATGTATCAAGTCTCAAAACAAAAAAAGGACCGAACAAAAATTGGTTGTCTTTTTCGTCTTTGCCCTATTCTTGTTAACACAAGAATGTGCAAAGAGGGGCAATTGTAGACCCCAAATTTTGTCCTCATCCCAGCATTACACCAAGCTTCCACTAATGCATGTTTCTTGCCAACTCACAAGGATAAAAATGCATGTGAGATCTGATCTAAAGCATGGTTACACCAAGTTGCTATTTTTTTATGTAAAGCTATGTAAAATAAGGGCTATAAATAGCTGAATGAAAATGTAAGAAAAAGGGGGGGAAATGGTAAGGGGATTACTCTCGTTTTTCAAAAGGGGATAGTAATAAAATACAGATTTTTTCCAGCAATCTTAAGGTAGTTCAGTTTATATTTCAGTTTTCTTTAATTTATTTGTTTAATTCGAATGCAACTAATAATAAGAATTTTAGTTTGTAATTTTGTTCGTAGTTAACGTAAATTCCATGAGTTAAAAAAATAATTAAAATAGAGATAGAGAGTTAAGTTACCTTGCTGATGTACGTCGGAGTAGGGGTGTCGTCGTCATAGGGTCTAGAGTCGAGTTGTCGGTGTGGCTCTCGAGTTCACTGGAAATTTGGGTCGCCATGGTTTCTCTGTCGCACTGGTGAAGGAAAAGAAAGCAGAAGACTAGAAATGAAAAACTGATATGGTTCACGTGTAGAAGGAAGAAAGGAAAAGATTTTAAGCTTTAATTTTTTTGGTTAAACCACTTTTCAGGCTACTAGTTTTTAGGAGCTTTATATTTTGTTCATATATATTAATGATTAAATCACGCATAAGGTCGTCATGTTCAACGTATTTTGTGCTTTGGTCCTATCAGGGTAAAATTACCTTTAAGCTCCCTTATTTTAATATCTTTTGCGTTCTGGTCATATATTTTGTTATGTGTTTCAAATATGCATATTGATTTTAATAATCTTCGAACTTAGCCACTGTTATTTTAATTTTTTTATTTATTCGGATCCTTGTTTATTTTTTATTTAGTTATTATTTTATATTTTATTACATTTTAGTCAACATAATTAGATTTTATTACAATTTAGGCTCATGTATTTATTTTAAATTGATTGTTGAGGATCTTATTTGTTCATATTTATTTATTAGGTCCTTTTACTTTAATCCTTTAATTTTTCTGTTTGTGCTATTTTAGTACTTTATTTTTTTGCTATTTAATATGTTAAGTTTCTGTTTTTCTCTTACAGCTCATTCCTATAATTAATTCGATCCGTGAATTTTAATTATTTTTAATTTCTTTTTATTTTTTATATAAATTCTCTTCCACTCCCTTTTATTTACCTATTTTATATTTTATCTTTTAATACTAACTCTTTGTCTTTGTTGGTTTTATTTTTTTACTTTATTTATGATTTTTTGGGGATAATTTTAATTGATCAAAAGGTAAATAATTATGATCAAATTTTTAAATTTTAATTTTAATTTTTGTAATTAAGACAACCGATAAATTAAATGGTACTGAAAGGGCAGTTCAAGGGTGCTAATCATTCCTTAACTGTAACCGACTCCCGAGCCAGACATATTTCTGGTAAAACGTAGATTACGTAAGATGGTATCCGATCAACCTAAATATTTTTTAAAATGATCGGTGACGACTTCAATAATTTATTTCAAATCGAAACCAAATTCCGGGTCCATCTGAAAGGCGGTTGCGAGAAGTATATAATCAATATAATTGTACACTTAAATCCAATAATGATATCACTTTCCAAACGCATTGTAAATGTATATTCTAGATGTAAATGTGATTCTGAAAGTGGTTTTACGGTTAATGTTAGTATTATAAATGAGACTAAACATATCATAAATTATTTAAAATTTAATTTGATTAAAATTCGATTAATACTTAAATTAAATTTATTTAATTTTAATTTAAGTTTGAATTTAATTTAGATTTTTAACGAGTCAAAACGAATAATTAATAATTGATTTGAAAAGTTCACTATTTAAATTATTATTAATTTTAGTACTGATATTTATATGATGTATTTTTATAAAATACAATATAAGATTTATGTTCAAAATTAAATCGAGTTCGATTTTCAATAGGGTTAAAAATATTTTAAGTTATTTTTTTAAATTCAAACCAATTTCAATTTTTGATTTTAATTTCAAACTGAACTCATCTCACGAAACTTTTAAACCAAATCAAGCTTAGGGATGGGTATGTGTCGGGTCTGGTCAAATTTTTGATTCCATCAATTCAACCCAAAAATTTTAAATCGACCCAAATCTGATCCAAAAAATATACTTCTTTCACCTGATATGAATTGAAATAATTTATTCATTAAAATTATTTTTATTCAATAAAAATAGAGATTTAATTGAAATGAAATAATATATACATGAGTATTATTGTAATTATTCTTAAATATATAAGATAAAATTATAATTTTCTAAGTCAGGTCAGATTAGATATTTTCACCTTAAATTTAATCCGACCCGAACATAACTTTAAAAAAACTCAACCCGACCTAAACCTAAATATGATTTAAAAAAAAATATTAACCAGATCAAATCAGATCAAATCAGATCAAATCAAAACCCTTCAAATTCGGTTTCATACACATCCCTAATCAAGCTGAGCTTTAAATATTTTAAATTTAATGGAGCTCAATAATATTTGAGTGAGCTGGACTCAACTTGCTTAAAACACTAATAAACGCACGCAAAATTAAGGATGCGTATACTGACGTTACTCTCGAGGCGCACTAAAAACTCTTGAGACTATTTTCTCGTATTTCTTCTTCAAGCTCTCATTTTCCGGGAAAACCAACAACAAAAAAAGGAATTCGCTAAAATCATGCAAACAACTCAAATCCAAAATCCCATTCCTCTCTATGACATAATCATCTTAGGGGCCTCAGGATTTACTGGCAAATATGTAGTGAAAGAGGCTTTAAAGTTTCTAAATATCCCATCTTCTCCTCTTAAAACATTGGCACTTGCTGGTCGTAGCCATGAAAAGCTTACCAAAACTCTTCAATGGGCAGCTCCTCCTCCTTCTCCTGATGTTAGTATTATCATTGCTGATACTACTGACCCAGCTTCGCTTTTGAGTCTTTGTAATCAAACCAAGCTCTTGCTTAACTGTGTTGGACCTTATAGGATCCATGGTGAGCCTGTTGTTGCTGCTTGCGCCTCTTCTGGGTACCCCTTTTCTCCTTTTTGAAGCTTTTAAATGTTCATTTTTTCTGTATTTGGGTTCTTGTTTTTCTTGTTAAATGGTGGAAATCTGGGTTTCTTTTAAGGTTACTTGGGTGATAGCATGCAGTAGAAGTATGACATTGGTACTTGTTTGTGGGGATTTTGTTGATAATGATTAGATTTGTGGAAATCTAGTAAATTGGATGATGTCTACATTGGCCCTTCTGTTTTCAAAGTGAATCCGGCAAGGTGTTTCACTTATTTAGGTGCCCTTTTGGACAATTATGTAGGAGTGTGTATTTTCAGATATAGTATATTATCTAATTTAAAATTTCGAATCATTAAAATTGTAATTAAAATTGTAATTTGTATATGATCCATAAAAATTTGATATCCAATTTTCTAGATATCTGAACTTCTGAGTCAAATATCCAAATCCAAATCCAAATCCAAACAAAAATTTAATTTGACAAAAAACAACGACATAAGAGCGACTAGGGCAGAAACTTTCGTATTTTTCACTCCCTTAACTAACACATAAAATTTACTTAACCTATTAAATAGTCCAAGCCTATTACAGATTTTTCACCTCTTGCCTGCTTTTTTTTGGTGCATCAAAAGTATATTGTTTTATAATATATTTATGGGGTTTTAATTAATTAATTTACTAATAATATAATTAATTTAAAATAATAAAATATTAAATTAAGTACTATTTACTTAATAAATTTTATTAAATATAAAAGTTAATTTTTTATAATAATTTAAAGTTATATGAAAATTTTAAAATAATTATAAAATTAATTTATATCTTTTAAAAATAAATAAAATAATGATTTTAAATATTAAAATAATTAAATATAATAAAATAATAAAAATTGTTTTTATACATGACAAATTTTGGTGAAAAGGTAGAGTAAGATATTGAACATCGGCAGACGATTAACGTGACTATATACTTGTCCTATATCAAAATTAGGATAACACTAACTCTGTGTTGATATACTTCGGAAACTAGGATCTTGTGAGTAGTACAAAGAGGTTTTGACTCTTGACAAAGGGACAAGCAATTGTAAAAAAATAAAAAAAAAAATGTGTGAAAAGAAGATTAAGTGCTTTAAGAGTTAATCAATAGGTGATAGATGTTAACATACTCTAGAATTAATTCATAAACATTTTATTATAAAAGTGCGTCTCGCCACGAAAGGTGTAGGCCTTCACCTCGCGCGACTCTTTGCACCTTGGTGCGCTAGTGCCTTTTAAGACCAACTCTCTTAGATGTTATTAACCGAGTTAATATTCAATCGGCGTATATCATTATTAATCTTGTCACAATCATTGTTCATTTACTCTTAATATTAATTTGTTTGTCATAAATACAAGTAATACTAGCTTTCCTAACTTTAACTAGTGCTATTAAGAAAATCAGATTTTTTTTCTTCTGCTTTTATCCGGCCTTGGCTTATTCTATCTTAATCTTCAAATTCGCAACTTTCAGTGGAGCCATTAGTCTTATAACTGGTCAATCAATTGCCAAGATCCACCTCTGCGGACGAGTCTCTTGAAAGTTAGATGTCATCTTGTTTATGTATTTAAATGTGTGTGCCATGTTCTTGAATGTTGATTATGCATAAAGTGGTGAATTTTGGTGCTTTCTATGAGATTTGATTTTAAAGTAATGAGTTTTATTTAGTCTAAGCTTTCACTTCATTTACAGCCAAGGCATTTGATCACATCATTAACATGTCTGACAATTACTCTTGCTAACCTACACTGTCAGGTGTGATTATTTGGATATAACTGGGGAGTCGGAGTTTATGGAGAAAATGGGGGCCAAATACCATGAAAAGGCTGGGGAGACAGGTTCCTTGATTGTTTCAGCGTGTGGATTTGATTCAATTCCTGCTGAAATGGGGGTTTTGTTCAATACGAGGCAGTGGGTGTCTCCTGCTGTGCCCAACCATCTTACTGCATATGTAAGTTTGGAGTCTGATAAAAGAATTGTTGGCAACTTTGCGACATATGAATCTGCAGTTTTGGCTGTGGCAAACATGGATGAGTTGCAGGAGTTGAGGCGTTCCCGACCCAGGAAACCTACACTGGCAGTAAGCGATTATTCGACATTTCTGTATGTTGTTGATATCCCAGTGTGTCATGATTTGTTTAAGACATTAAGTTGTTGAAGGATGGGGATGACCATTGTGATTTTTCTAGATATATAAGAAATCAGTGATGCCCTTGCTTGATCTAGTTTATGACTTTCTCACTTCAAGCATTTTTCTGTTTCCTTGTAATGGTATTCAATATAATTGCTCTATTTGGCTGATTTGAAAATTGAGATGAACAATTAACTCATAGACATCACACTCTAGCTGTACCATATTTCAGATTTAAGGAAATCAAGCTCCATTAATCGTCTTAATGGAACTATTCTTCTACTTTTGGATATACATCTGTAGGAAGGTAGGGCAGATTTAGTATATACATAATGTTCCTTTTCCAGACAAACGGATTCTTATATTTTGCTGGTTAAATCTTGCTTAATCAATGTTGAAAATTTCGAATCATGATGATTCTTACAATGTCTTGTAACAATTGCTTGCTTTTATGGTTTCAGATTCCTGGTCCACCTCCCCCGGAAGGACCAAGTATAGAATATCAGGAGCAAATCGGTCTAAGGGCTGTAAGGCTGCCCTCGGCTGATGCTATTGTTGTTCAAAGAACTCTTGTTACTCTGATGGACAACCCCCGTGGTCTCCCTGGGATTAAGGAGAGTCCTGAACATACCGAAAAGAGAGAGGCCTACTGGTCATCCGTCAAGCCAGCTCATTTCGGAGTGAAAATAGCGTCTAAATCCCTTTTAGGCATCTACCGAATCATCGGAGTTGGGATTTTCATCGGACTCTTAAGTAGAATTTCATTTGGGAGGTGGCTTCTCTTGAAATTTCCCTCATTTTTCAGCTTCGGCTGGTTCCGAAAGACTGGTCCCTCGGAGGAAGAGCTGAGGAGTGCATCATTTAAGATGTGGTTTGTTGGATATGGTTTCAGTGACAGCAGCCTGGCTTCGGAAACAAACTCGAAACCCGACATGCAAATCATAACGAGAGTAACAGGACCTGAGATTGGCTATGTGACAACTCCAATAAGTCTAATTCAATGTGCTCTCATAGTTTTGAGCCAACGCAAGAACCTACCAAAGGGCGGAGTTTATACTCCTGGCATCATTTTTGGTCCGGATCTCCAAGAGCGGCTGCAAGAGAACAGAGTTTCGTTCGATCTTGTTTCAAAGACCACTCTCCGTGGCCCTACTGCTGCTTAAAACTGTGGTAAGTTTTTTGCATAATAATAATGTACTGTTGTTTTTCCTGTTCGGAACGTTAACTTGGTTTTGGATCAGTTTCTTCTGGATGAATAAATTGCATATAACAATGTAGACATGTTTTTTTTTGTTTGTTACAACGCTAAACATTTAGCAACACTGAAAGTTGTTTACTTTCTTTTGAGTTCTGATAAAATTATCTGTTTTCTGTTTTCTTAAGCTTTTGTGTCTTCAACCCAAATTCTTCATCCTCAAATCCCTTTCATCAGTCTCGAAAACTCTGCTCTGCGCTGTGTTATTGTCATCCCTTCTCGGACTCACCAAAAACAACGACCTGTCCAAAAATGTCCCCGCAATGTCTTGGATAGGTGATCTAATTTCTTTTGATTGAGACTGTTCCCACATCGGCGATCGAATTAACCGAATTTCTTATAATTTTTTAGTTAGATTTTTTAATAGAAATAATCAAAATTATCATATTGACAACGCACACATAAATACTGCACTGCACCAGCGGTAGCATGAGAAACGACAGCATCAAATTTACAGGGAGATAGAAGGGAGAAGGAAATGATAGTTTCTTTTGATCAATCATCCATCCATAACAACAAATACATGTTGGCCTTACCTTACTCATGGAGTGAACTATAATCTTGTAAAATGTCTGCTACTTAATGAACTGATATACATGTGTCAGAAACTGTTTCATGATAGGGAACAGTAACAGGACAAGTTGTATCGAGAAGAACAAGAATTTGCAACTACGTAGTAGAGAAAAGAAATCGACACTTTTTCGAAATACCTGCTTTTACCGAAGGGCTCCTACCAATTTGACTGTTAAGCTGATCGAAAATTGCAATTAAACAACCCTGTAATAGTGCCTCTATCTAAATCACCACCACCTATTTACTTCTACCGGTAAGTTGGTATCTTCGGGATGTACAGCTAGCTTCAAGTTCTGACCCAATTTGTCAAGCATTTGATATATTCTATCAAATTTAGGGTGTGACCTATCAAATACAGTGAACTCGTGGACTTCATTGTCTATTTCAATAGAACTTGCTCCTGAAGGTTTTTGAACCCCTATGCTCCTCATCCGAAGCCTTACACTTGCAGCGCTGTCCCAATCACCTGCTGCAGCAAAAATATTCCTTACCAAGGAATAATTTCTTGGATCAGAGGGATCCAACTCAAGTAGGTGATCAAGCACCTTCTCTGCGAGTTCCGTAGCATCATGCAATCGGCATGCCCCCAGAAGAGTACCCCAAATAATGGCATTTGGCTCAAAAGGCATGGTATGTATAAGTCTAAATGCTTCCTTCAAGCGCCCTCCTCGGCCTAAAAGGTCAATCATGCAACCATAATGCTCAATTTGAGGAACAATCCCGTAATCTTTCTCCATCGCGTAGAAGTATTCTACACCCTCGTCGATAAAGTCTGCATGGGTACAAGCACACAAGACACCTACAAAAGTAACTCTATCCGTCTGAAATCATTCCATCTTCATTCTAGAGAAAACATGAAGTGCTTCTCTACCACGACCGTGCATAGCAAATCCATGCAGCATTGCATTCCATGAAACTACATCTCTTTTCGCCATTCTGTTGAAGACATTCAACGCCTTGTCTAGACTGCCACACTTTGCGTACATATCAACTAATGCATTAGACACCGTAATGCTACATCTAAAGTTAAGCCTCTCTATTGAATCGTGCACTTTTATGCCCACTTTGAGTAAACCAGACTCCGCACAAGCAGCCAATATACTAATAACGGATCCATCGTCCAACCTCAATCCATGTCGCTCCATTTGATCATACATGTCGGTCGCCTCTTTTGCCAACCCCTTTTCTGCATATCCGGATATGATAATAGTCCAAGGAACCAATCTTGAGCGGCATCTTATCAATTCTCCAAAATTCGAATAACTATCAATAAGAGCATTGGGTACAAAAACATCACCCAAAAAACCTTTCTTTTCAATCTGGTGGTTCGACAGATTTGGATTCCTATATATCCACTCATTGGTACTTCATTGTACAATATATATAAGAATTATACGATAAGAATTATACGATATATATCCATCTGTATAGATATCATCATCTACATCCGGAAGCCTTCAACAGAAAAGGGTAAGTGAAATTATCAGCCAAAATCCCATTCCACAGCATTTCAAAGTAGAAAGAAAGAGCCTGGGTTGGCTGTGAGTTTTGCACACAGGCTCGTATCAAAGTGTTGTACAAATGAACATTGGGGTTTTGAATTTGGTTTAAAACGTAAGAGCCAAGGCCAATTGGCGGCATAGAGAGAAAGCAGAGATCAACTTGGGAGCAATATAAAGGTCTTGGTGAAGGTTTTGTTTGATTATTTGGGCTTGGATCTGTTTAACATTGCTTAAATTGTTGCATTTGTGGAGGTCCTGGAGTTTTTGTTCGAAGAGTCTTCTTGTAGAGGCCCATGAACGGGATTTAAGAGGTATAGACATGGGAATTCGGAATGGTTTAGAGATGGGTAGATGGTGGGAGTTCTGCATGACTGTGGGGCTTCGCAATGGAGACTTTGCTATATTTCTTTTTTTCGAAGGGATTTTGATAAGCAGAAGCTATCCATGTTTTCCTTCGGCTAAGCTTTTTTCTTTGGATTTGTTAGATCTAGTGGGATATATTCATGTGGGCTTCGCTTTTATAGATTTATGGTCTGCGTTCCATCTCCTGTCCATTTAGATGGTAGAATTCACCCAATAGGTCAGGTGGCTAAATTAATTAGTCCATTATATCATTTTTAAAAATTAATTTAGGATCTACGGTGAACATTACATTATAAAATAAATTGGTCATACTCACATGATGAGTTTGTCAAAATAATATTTTTATTTAAACTCGTCATGTCGAAGTGACAAGTTCCAATAAAAAATTATAATTTATTGGAACTCGTCATATCCACGTGATAAGTTTAAAGTCACCGTATCAAATGTCATAGTTCCCAAAATAAAATACTTGGTGTCGTATTGAACTAAATAATTAGCCTGCCTACGGTATTGAACCAATTCTACCCATTTATGGTGATCTTTATATAGAAGGTATTCAAATTAATTTTAATGAAAAATAATTTATAACCATTAATCGTAATAATTAATTGGTTTAGTCATTATATTTTATAATTTAATTAATTAAATTTATTAAATTTAATTAATTAAATTTATTAAAATTAAATAATTTTAATAAATTAAATTATTAAAAGTGAAGATTAGTATTTATAATTATGGACTTTAAGAAACAATTAATCATTGGCTAACCTTGATTAAATTATAAATATATTTTAAAGGAAATATGAGTATAATGGTTATTTTATGTAACAACTATATCCCGTATACCTTTCCGTACACGAGATACAGATCTCACACCACTCTATAAAACTTTTGTTATTTGAAAACCTATAAAATTTTGTTTCAATTTGAACAACTACAAAATATGATATTCATAGAAGTAGAATACTATATCTATCACTTAAGTACATTACAAAATATTCACTATAGTTTAATTACATGCCAACTAAGTTCTCAAATTGAATAAGATTGTCATAATGTTACTGATGAGTCAACCTTTAATTGATGAAAGCTGCTGCTATGGCAGCACTCCTTACGCAACTAATATGTTCCTTTACCTACGCGTGAAATAAATACACGTTAAGTATTTACTTAGTGAGACATAATACTGCCAATATATTACAATTATACGTCAGTAACTTATGAATACTATATTAAGAATTTAATTGCATCATTCAAAAGGACCAGTTAAGCCCTTCTCAGTTAAACCATAATTCATTCATACCTATCATTCTGTATATTTCCCCTGTATTCTTTATTTGCCATGTGTACATTAAATGTAAAAGTACTATACATGTATTTCACCAATGTGCCAATTGATCATGTATCTTTTATAATCATTATGGTGGCACCTTAAATACTGTTACTACATCGTTTTGTATTTTTATTTGGGCATTCTTTCATGCCCATTATGTTATGTTTACGTTTTCCTTTATAACATCCATTCATAATAGTTATGCATTGTTATACAATATATATAAATATATATCATCCCTTCATATCACTTATGCACCATTCATATCACAATACATTATAATTCCTTTATTCTTTTACCCAAATGTATTTAACCTTTCATATAACTTGCATATTTGACACTTTTCTGTCAAATGCATAGCTAGTCCATTATTTTTTTTACTCAACAATGTTTAAACTTTCATCTTTTACTCAATAGTGTTTTAACCGTTCTTCTAACTGGCATAATTGTCTGCCAATTGCACAGTTAGGTTATATTCTTTACTCAACAGTGTTTAACCTTTCATCTTTTACTCAACATGTTAATCGTTTTCTAACTGGCATAATGACACCTTCATATAACTTGCATATTTGACACTTTTCTGTCAAATGCATAGCTAGTCCATTATTTTTTTTACTCAACAATGTTTAAACTTTCATCTTTTACTCAATAGTGTTTAACCGTTCTTCTAACTGGCATAATTGTCTGCCAATTGCACAGTTAGGTTATTATTCTTTTACTCAACAGTGTTTAACCTTTCATCTTTTACTCAACAATGTTTAATCGTTATTCTAACTGGCATAATTGACACCTTTCTGCCAATTGCAGAGTTAGGTTATTATTCTTTTACTCAACGGTATTTAACCTTTAATCTTTTACTCAACAATGTTTAACCGTTCTTCTAACTGGCATAATTGACACTTTTCTACCAATTGCACAGTTAGGTTATTGACCTGATATTTTAGAACAATTTCTACTATAATAATTATTCATAATATCAATGAACTCTCTCAACTCATTATAAACTCTATAGTTTACATTGGTAGTGCTAATAACATCATTTCTTAACCCTTACTATAATTTAGGTGAGTTGCATACCCACTACTAATACTAAAATTCACCTAATTATTATGAACTTCTTATATTTGTACATATATTTCTCATACGAAAATTCATACACTTACTATGAATTTCTTAGTTCTACACATATAGTGCCCAATACGGAAATTCATACACTTAGTATGAATTTCTTAACTTTTTTCACACAAAGTGCCCAATACGAAAATTCTACATTTAGTATGAATTTCTTAACTTTTTGCACACGAAGTGCCCATTACGAAAATTCATACACTTAGTTAGGCTTGTAAAT